TAATTTGGAAATGAGCAAAATGTCTCTTAGTTATAATGAGGAAATTATAGTTATAATTTGGAAAGCTGTTTGTGATCTATCCATAGAACTATTTGTTCTGACCAGAATAACTACTTGAAATCATACTGAAAGCTTGCAAAACTATTGAATATTATACAGAGTAAAATTAGTTTTCTTTACAAATATATTGAAAGATTAAAGAATCAAAGTTGGAGAAACACTCTTTCAATGGTGGAATACTCCAATTTGTTTCAATTTTTTTCTATGTCAAAGAATTTAGGGTTTTTTTTTTGTTTTAAATGTAAAGAATAGATAAATAACACATTATATAGAAGAGAAATTACTGATTTCTCTACAGAGAACTTGAAACAAACTTGGATTTTTTTGAGGCATGCAATGTATCTTCAGGTCAGTGATATGTACAGTTTGATAACAGTGAAGGGCCTGTTTCTGCTAAGCACAGAGATTTGCTGATTGATTGGTTTCTATAAATCAGAGCAGTTAAATACTGATAGAACATGTCAGGGCTGTTGTCCACCTTGCCTATGGGGTTTTAATAGATTGAGGGAGAAACTGCTAGGCTCCCAGGTTGGGAAAGCTGTCTGGGAGTCGGCAACACCTAGGTAATTGCCATTTCTCTGAGAAGCATGTGGTGAGAGAAGAGTTTGTCAGCGATGATTTTTCATAGGGGTGCATCTGTGACCTTACTGGGAGGAAGGCTGCAATGGGCCCCAACAGGGCACAAGGGCTGCAATGCAGCCTCTGTGGGCTGTGCTGCCCAGCTTTTAACCTGCTTCTACTCACCCGTGTTGGCAGGTAGGAGTGCTCTCTCCTCAGCCAAGCTACTCCTACAGCTTGTGGGGAGAGCTGTGTCTCCCAGAAGTGCACTGCCAATGTTCCTCTGTGCATAGCTGCTGGTGGCCAGTGAATCTTAACCTGTAGCTTGCAGCCTTGTGCTTTATTTCCTTTATTTATTGAAAGGCACAGTCTGCAGCAGGGGAAAGATGGGATGACAGCTGTCATGCTGGGCCAGGATTACATTGTGTGCATTCTCCTGTGGAGGGAAGAAATCCAGATATTGCAGAAGCTGTGATTGCTGTCAGTGTTTTAAGATGATTTGATGTTTTTAATAATCTCGTCTGAAGACCAAAAGGCAAGGGATGACTTCTGATATTATGCATGTCTTAAATAATGAAACATAATAAATAGACGCTCCCATTTTGGAAACCAACTCAAGGGTGGTTTAAATGTGCTTTAAATGCACTTGTTTGCGAAACTTATACTACGTTAAGATATTTTAGTGTGGATTTGTGTGATACTTCAGTGTTAAAAGGGATATCTGCTTTCCTCTGTCAGTACCCTGACATCATAGGTTGATGAGGAGAAAGAGGGTCAGTGCGCTGTGTCACTGCCAGTTCTGCCATGGCTGCTCTTTGGGGCCTGCCTGGGTTACCATTAATGTACACAGTGTACTCTGCAGCACATGGATGTTTAAGAGGAGCTGGATGAAGTGAAGTCATGGCAGAGATAGGGCTTTTCTCTTCTGAAAACTGACCTAAGTTCCAAAAAATCCAGGCACCTCAAACTTTTCTCTGTGGTTCAAAAGTCTATAAACTTCTGTTTTCCCTGGCAAAGGTGTAATGAAAGCTTCCAGGCACAGATGGCTGCAATATAAACTGAAAGGAGAGGATGGAAGGAGGAAAAAAACCCTAATGCAACAAATGGCAGTTAAGCACCTCCCCTCACCTCCCTCCAAATCCCAGAAACAGAGGAGTAGATATTATGAAGCAGGTTTAGTTTCTAGCAGCTTGATCTTTGCCTTTGTGTGTATTCATGTCCTGTTGGTAATTATCATTCTGTTGACACCTGTATTCACGATGACACCCCTATATCACATTTTCATCACAGCGTGAAATGTCGCTCTTTTTGCTTTTGTTTTGTTTAGTACTATGAGTTTAGTCCAGAGTTGAAAAAAATGAACACTTCTCACAACACACAACGGGACATTGATAACCTTGCAGCTTAGTTACTGATCCTATCTCAGTGCTTCCATCTCTCTCCTTCCTCCCACCCCTCTTTTCAAGCAGACAAGGTTTTCCCTCAACAAGCTGATGACAGAATAATTTCTCCAGGTTGATTGTTTGCCCCACATGGTCTCTGGAGATCTTCATACAAGTGGAGAGAAGCAGATCAAAAGCCTGCAAGAAAAAAAGAGGCAAAGGATTGCAAAAAACCACCATAAAGATCCTACTCAGGTTTCAGTCTGATGATGAACAGGCTTGTAAAGTATTCTGAGACCTGTCAAATTTTCCCATCTGAAATCCAGACCTATTTTAAAAAGAATTTTCATAATGAGTGTCTCTTTTCCCCCATCCACAGGCTCAGGGTAATTTCTGAAAAAGTTCTGCAGGGCTGAGGAGTTGAACACTTGATCACATGCAGGAGCACGGGATAGATGGAGTACAGCTGACTCAACAGCTACAGGGGATTTGGGTAAGTGCCCACCATGTCAGCCAACTAGAACTTACTAAAATATTGGTGAATGTCAAAGTATTCATTACTTTTAAAAGAAAATTCTTACTTTATCACTTGTCAGACAAATTTAACCTCCCTAGGAAATCTTAGTCAGTGGTAGCTGGTTGGGGAAGAAGTACGCACGGAATGGCTGATGAAAACATGATGGTAAATTAGCATCCAACTGTGACTGACTTTTACAATTTAACTTCTACGTGATAGTACTGAGGCCAGACTTGCACTATTAATGTGAGGGGAGGAAGGTTACAAACCCCATGCAATGTTGAGGCTGTCGATGTATGTGAAACCCACTTATGTTGCTTTCAGGAGGGAAACAATCAATTGCTTGAAGGAGACAATGTTATCCAACTTGTGGTATCCACCTGTTCCCACAATCATTACAGTGATGGAAGGAAATTTTGATAACAAGACTTCTTATCTGGCTCCACTGCAATTGAATGACGTGGGGTCACTGATTGGAAATTACATCGTTTCAGGTCACAAAGCTGACTGGACATGATAATTGCACCACCTTTGTTTATTTTTAAAGTAATAATAATGGCAATATATTCTTGAATGAAGACTGGGGATTTGAAATCAAGTCTTCAGTTAAGCTGATGAACTGATACAGTCTAAATGAACATAGTTACTATAATTGCTTTGTGTACTGTGGGGAAAAATTTTAAGAGCTGCGGAAGACGGGAGTGTTGGCCCTGCTTGCATGTTCTTGATCAAAAAATGTTTTTACCAATGCACGATGTTTGATTTTCTTTCAGCTAGCTCTTAAGTGATACCACTCAGGCTTGTTTTAGACATTGGCTGAAAAATTACTTCAAACCTTGTTTTGAGTCCCAAATGGCTATGAGAGGGACTAGAAACACGGTGAAAGAAATATCCATGAATGAATCTTTCTTATTTCACAATAGAAATAGTTTTTGTTTTAAAATATAAATCTGGGAAGAGTGTAAGTGCTCTTTCATTTCAAAGTTTATGAAATCTGTGGTATTATATGCTGTCTTTGACCAAGATATTAGCAGCATTATTTACTGGAAATTCATTTAACTTCTAGGCATTAGATAAAGCTGTACTGTACTGCAGCATTATTCTACAACTTTGTTACTTAATTGCTGTTTCTAAAAGTAAGGAAATGGAAGTCATCATGATGGCATAAACTGTTGCTGCTTTTTGTCAGGGAAGTCTTATTTTACTTGTAACTTTTCAAGCTGCTAACAGATGGTTGCCGTATAATCTGCTTGCTAGTGACATCAAGAATTATTTTACTGAAGATTTATATTTATATTGCTCTCTTCCAAAAGCATAAAAAGAGTAATTAAGTAGAATGATACTAATTTAGATCTTTATCTGCCTATGTGACTGCAGGGCTCTACGGTCAGGAAATTGGATTAAGAGCATCTCATCACTAGATCAGTGTGTTTAAGTCCAGACCATGGTTAGAGGCAACTGAAGGCCAGTAGCATGTGATGACACTACAGAGGCCTATATAAAATGATTTGATAGTTTCTGTAAATTTGCTAGCTGATGAAACACCCATAAAGATCAGTGGCCTGAGAAGGAAATCTGTAGACTGAATGTGTATGTGCACAGAACTCATTTAAGCTTAGGAATAGTCTCTTCGTTCCAGGTTTTAGGGACACTCTGTACACTCCCCATGCAGGTGACAGGACACAACTGTTGCTTTTCTGTTTCCATCCAAGATTAACCTGGGCTTGCTTTGGTCTCACTGACTTTCAAATTGCCGTGTCTCCACTAAAAGTGAAAGAGGAATGCAGTGCAAATAAGCTGCAGTAGAGCAAAATCAGCCCATTTTTTTATCAGTATTGGATTAATTAGACAATATCTTAAACACTGTAGGTTTGTTCATTACAGATACTTCTCTGTGCACTAACTAGTGTGTGTGTGGCACGGCTGGGGGTTAAATGATGGCTTTTGTTTTGTAATCAGGTCGTTTGTAGTATTTTGCAGCTGAAGTGAGAAGTGGAAAATCCAAAAATATTTTTATTTTACTTTTATGATGTGAGTCAGAAATGCGGTGACCTCAGTGGAGAATCTATGAATGTTTTCAGTTGGTTTATATTCTTGGCATTTCAGTTGAATCCACTGAAGTTATACTAAAGAATTTAACAGCTAAACAATGAGACTGAAGAAATGCAGAGAACAAATAATCAAATTATGTGGATATTAATGATGAAAAGGAGGCCTTGCTTTGTCAAGGACATCCACATTTGTGTTACAATGATTTTTCTTAGATTGCTCACTGCAATAGGCTCTAAATCTTATGCAGAGTTTCCTTTCTTTTTTCTCAGGTCCCTTGCTGATGTTAAAGTTTTTCTGATGCAGTAGACAATATGAAGAGTGTGAAAGTGAGAGGATAATTTGTTCAAAGTTCTTTAATTCAGGTCTGAAGCTTTGACCATAAATCACTTCCTTCAGACCTGTTTTCCTCTCAGATCTGCTTTCACTGACAGCTTACTGCGCTTCGTATCTGCATGAATGTCCTGTGGGAAACAGTGGTTAATTGATGCAGGTTGGAAGGACAGAATTGAGATCACTGTCTTTTCTGGGAGGTTCAGGAGGTGTCCTTCTGTGCATTTATATCTGTGGAACCTAAATCTAATTTGCGTTTTCCCAATTTATTGAGGTATCTGTGAAACATGGAGTTAGAAACATAATTTCAAACGGAGTTAAAATTTTTATCTTATTTGTCAGATACAGATTTGGTTACTTTCATTGTATGATATGATTGGCATGATTTGGGGAACACTAGCATTTTCTTAAATAGTTAAAATAAGTACCTGGAAGAGAGATACAAATACACTATTGAAGTCACCTTTGTGGGACTGCAAAGCAAGTATTCAGGGAATATTTAAAGAACAATTCAACTGTTCCATCATGAAGCATAGCTCTGGTAAAAATAATATGGAACAATGTAGGGGGAAAGTAGCACATCTGAAGAATGTTAGTATTTTACTAGTGGATGTAGGAAAAGCTAGAATTACTGCTGTTTAGCACGGAATAGCAGGTAAACAGTCTACTCCATAACCTCAGCAGTCTGAAGTGAATGAGATAAATCTAGTAAGTCAGGATCTCTGGCTTGTTCAACAAAGGGTTGTTAAGATTTATTTATACTTTAGTAACTTTATTTCCCCAATGGTCTGTCTCCTTGAAAGAAGGTATTATGCTGCTTTGTATAAATTTCTTAGAAATATTTCATATAGTATTATTTTCCACTTGATCACTCTTTCTCTTCTTACGGTATAAATAATGCAGGTAACTTAGTTCTTCTCAGACGAGTTTAATAAAATCTCAGTGCATCCGAGGATTTGTTGTAAAAATGAAGACAGACATGTATACTAATGTACAGTGTTTAAAATTTTCTAATTAATATTTTGAAGCATTAAAATGTAATTTTTTTTAAACATCTTATTGGCAGTGTGGTACACCAGTTGAATTTCCTTAGTCATTAAGCAGGTGAAAAAAACAGTCAACTGGAGTTTTGCCTATATGAGGGTATGAAATGAAGCTCCAGGTGGACCTATGCTAGTGCACATCTCTCTAAACCTGAGTTGATACATTCAAGAGCACTGCATGGCTGTAAGGCTTCTATTATTTACCCAACATACACATTTATTTCTCACTACTGGTAATAAGATTCACAAACAATACTGAGCTGTGTCTTTTGGAAGAAGATCAAAGTTTTCAGCCTTTTGGTGTTCAGCACAGTTTAGAGTTATTGTTTCATTTCAATTCATAAGCACACTATGGATTGCTTCCAGATAAATTTTTTATGGTCCTGAATATCAGTTTCCCATGCAACGTGCTGGTCAAAATTTGAAGTCTTTCATTTTAAAGTCTAATGGTTTTGGTGTGGCTTCCTTTTGTGGAAAAATTAATGGCGCTCTCAGACCCTTTGGCTTTTTTAATCTGTGGAAGAGATTATTCTAAAAATACTGGAAAATCAACCAGAATTCTTTTAACTTAAACTAGATTTTTTTTAAACCTTAAAACCAAAGCAAAAGATTTGTATATTGTTTTTTGAAAACTGCAAAATTTATTCCCCTGTCTCATTTTCCTTGGACTCTGTGGGCATCTGCTTGATTCACAAGCATTTGAGACTTCAGCTATCATCCAGAATTTTTCAGATAAAACCCCTGTTGGGTTCTGGTAGAATTTTGATTAAGGAGGGGCTCCAAGCTTTGACCCAACATTTAATTACAAATCTGATAGAGTATGAAACTAATACAAGATTCTTGTTTTTAAATATCAAGAATTGAGGGGAAATATATGACTAGCAAATGAGTACAGGGCATTGTAGGGCCAAATCATTGATGTTGAAGGCAACTCTATGCCTGACTACCTGTGTACATTTAATGCATGGTCTTTCTTGTGTAGTCTGCAACTGCACTTTGTGTTCTGAGTAGCTGTAAGAGAGAAATTATTTACCTGTTTCAAGCTAGTTACCCCTTTTTGTGGGAGGGGAAAAACAATCAGGTCTCTTTATAAATTCTGAGGTACATTGATTTCTGATGTTCTTGGTTTTATTATTTCCTTATATATGCCAAATTATTACATTTGGTATTTTTGTGCGGTAAGACCCCAAATACCGTGATTTTGGTAACACAGTCTGTTTGCAGGTCTGGCTCCATCATCAGCTTAAGTTCTTTATTTGGGAAACTGCTGAACTTCAAGATACATATGTGGGCCTCTGTCTATATATATTTGTCGTGTATATATGTGTGTATGTGCATGTCTGCATATATTTATTTTTTCAGCTCTTCAGGTTTTGCTAGGTGTCAGAAATGAATGGGATGGCACTATGGGGTCTGAAATCACAGAAATCTGCAAGAAAAGATATGCTGTGTTTCAAGCAGAAGGAAATTTTGTAGGTGAAATGTGTCTTAAAGTTGTTTGCGTTTTAAGTGTCCTTTTTTTTTCCTCTAACAAACCTTTTGAAAAAAGGCAATTATCACCTTTTGGTAGGCTTGTCTTCAAAAGAGTTACTGTAAAGTTCCAAGTCCTGTTTTATCTGCATCGGAAGATCCAAGGAGATAATGTAGAAAGCAATAATGTAAAAAATCTGGATAATTCATTGCAATGGAATGAACAAGTTAAAAGAGAAAGTTCCACTGAAGAACTTGAGGTAGAGAGGTGTTCTTCGGGGTTTTTTCAATGGATTACTTTTAAGTGATGGCAAGCGATCTAGTATGTGTTTAGGGGCAAAGTGGTTCTGGAAGACTTGACAGTGGTTCAGTTAATGCACTTAACAACTATTCACAACGTGAGTGCACATGCCAAAGCAAGTGTGGCAGCAAGGTGAATGTAAACCAAAAAGATAAGGAACTATATGAGAACTACTTGTTGAGCTATGTAGTGATAATTTGAAATTATTTTTATGAGCAGAAGTAATGTTTCTATTCCATTACTTGTAGGCATCTAATGAACATTGCTAGACAATATTTAGGCAGTTACTAGATATATGTAAAAACTCTTACAGATATTCCACCAGCTTTGTTATGTGCTTATCACATATATAATTTTCCTTCAGAAGTTTTCATTATTACTATTGACTGTTTTTATGAAAGACTTATCCTGTCAGAAGGCATAAAGATCACCATATTGTTCTGCAGAACTGCCACACCCTGTGGATGAAAAATCAAAAATAAGCAGGGGATTACAGGAAGTTCTCATGAAGTACATGATAAATATTTGAAATAAGTAATATGTTTAGAAGTCAGAACTGGCTCACAAATGAATTTCAGTCGAAGTGTAGGGCTGAATCAGTGAATGCTGTTGAGGGTGGAAAATTTTTGAAGATCTTTTCAGAGAGGATAGGAAAAAAGAGAAATGAATATGAGGCCATGAAAGAGGAAAGAAGAGGGAATTTAGGTCAAACTATGGCATCTCTTTGGAATTAAATTCACAAATTGACTGCTAAAACATGTCTTGTTTAAATCATAAACACCTTTACTTGCAAATTCTGTGCAGGTTTTCTGACATGGTGAAGTTCATCACAGCAGGGTTGAGGGTTTTGTAAAGTGATAACAATTAAATTGAGGCCTGCATGTTGCAATTCTGACCTCTCTGTACTCTTCAATGATATGCAGCACAAAACTGACTCTTGGCACATCATTGAAACTTGATATGGGTTTGCCTGTGGAGAGTTTAATAGATAGTCACATTTCCCTTGCTGTATGTGTTGGCATCTTTGCAATCATGAAACTTTTCTTAACAGCCAAAGGTGTTTGCTACTGGATCAAAGAAACCTTTTTTTGGAATGCATCAAGAATTCCTTGAAAAAAGCTTAAAGAATTACATACCAAGTTGAAGAAAAAAGGGGCAAGTATCTTCCACATTAATTTGACTCCTGGATTATAAATCACCCTATTCCTAGGACTTGCATATTATCTTCCCTTTTTTGTAAATGGCATTTAAATTTCATGCTCATACGAAGGCAATAAGGTTATGATGTTCCTGTTATTATTAAAAAAAAAAACAAAACAAACAAACAAAAACCAAAACAAAACTGTTATCCTCCTTTCATTCTATCAGTATGGCGCAATTCTTTTTATTAGGATGCCTTACACATTTGGGAGACTGAAGTTTACAAATTTCTGTTGAGAAATAACTTGCCAGAGGCCTTTAAGACTAGGCTGGAAAAGCAGGAATGGCTGCTTTGATTCTTGCTGGATTGTGTAGACAGGTGATATTGGCTTTTCATGGTGCTTTCTAGCCCTGCAGTTCTCTTGAGAAATGAAAAATAATGACTGTTCCTGACTTATTTAACCCAAATCAGCAGGAGTCAGCTCAACTGGTGATGTGGATCTGCATGTTGATCCATTTACAGATAAGTCAATAGCCAGAAATCAAGTAGGACATTATTGGTTGTGTTAAAATTTGAATTGTTCCGAATACAGCTAGAGAAATAATGCTATAAATACTTAATGTCTTAATTCAGATTTGTTCCTTAGCAATCATCTCTTCTTTCTCCAAAATGCAGCAGCAAAAGTTCTGTTTAATAATTAAAATTTCAGAATTTATTGTCAAGTTCTGCTTTTCATCTAACATAATAGCTACAGCTTTGTCAGTGGCATCTTTCATTAAACTCTTTTCAAACAGCTTTTTTTTTTTTTTTTTTTTTTTTTTTTTTTTTTTTTTTTTTTTTTTTTTTTTTTTTTTTTTTTTTTTT